GCAATGTTTGTGCTGCAGTTGTAAATCACTGATTTGTTTTTCTGTCTAAACAAGTAAATCTAGCACAAACATTTATTTTTACTTCTTTTTTTTTTTTTTTTTCTCAAAAAGGAAATAACTTGAAGAAGAAGAGATGGAATTGCCAGGTTGCCCACTTGTGTGGTGTGACACCTTCCAGCCTGTTCCATGAAGCCCACACAATACCACTCCGCCAGAGCCTAGGGAGGGAAACACGGCACTTCAGATGTGGCATAAGCACCGGCCAGGATGGCATTGGCTGTTCCTCTGCATGCTCCACAGCTGCAAGAGTGCACAGAAGAGTTCTGCTTCAGGACTCTTCTGTGAATTGACATCTTCATAGCCACAGAACTGTTATGGCCCTCCAAGGTGGCTCTTCAATAAAAAGTAAACCAATATCTTCTGTTCTCTCTCTTTATTTGTTCACCCTGGCTAGGGCTTGATTGTTTTTTTTAGTTTAACATCTCTGCAAATAGTCATTTAATTAACGACTGACATTTGCTTTTCATTTTCTCATTAATTTTCATTAAACATTCAGAGGTAGAGGTGTGTCTGTCTGATTTCAGAGATGACTGTACCTAGAAACCAATGAAGGCTGCTTCTTGCAGCGAGGAATAATTTTTTTAAAGATATCACAGTGAACAAAAGTAACTCACAATCTGAGATAAACCGAAGGATACCAACCCTGGACTTGAATTATAAATGTTGATGTTAGGATTAATCTGTAGCAACAGGGAGAGCAGGCATTGTACTATTAAAGGCACATTTCTCTTCTGGAGCTCTGCAGTAAATACCCCGGTAATGTTTTTGCTGTTTGCTCTGCCCGCCCACTCTGTGCACTTTCCTCTCTTTGGCAGGCACTTGCACGTGGCCCTCGTTGTTTTCCCAACATCATCCCGTTGCGAAGCATTAAACTGCAGTCGATCCTGGTGCTGAAAACACAGCCTCACAGCACAGTCAAGGGAGATACACTTCAGAATAATGTAAAAAGACTCACGTCTGTGATGTCTGTTTTCCAGCAGCCCATGCTGCTGACCCCTCTGGTCGCCATAGCCTTCTCTGTGCACTTGCAGATGACATGCTCCATTTGGAGGGAGGAGTGCAGGATGCTTTCCATGTACTGTAAGAACCGTCTGTCTTGGGATTTCTGTGAATTTCAGAGATGAGAGGATGTAGCACAGCAAATTAAAGTCTCAGCATAGCTGTCTCCTTGAGAGCAATATTAACCTTAATACTTATAGTCTGAAATAAAACTTGTTACACCCATAGAAAAAATGCAGCCATTAGCAGAGCTTGAAGCACATGTTTGCTGTGCACCTGAGTTGAAAATTCTCCAGTCAAAGCCAAATTCTTCTTCTGGATATTGTTGAATCCACTGATATCATAGGTCCAGTGTGAATATCATAGGCGCTGAGGTCAATTCCAAACATCTGCCCCAATTCATCCATTTTTATTCAGCTCAATACTTCTCAGCACAAATCATCCTCTGCCTTACCGAGCCACGACAAAACTTCACTCTCAGCCTTGGTGCTTGCATTCAGGCTCCCACAGGGCTCTTGTGTCAGTGAGGAGAGGTGAATGTTGCTGCAAGATTTTGTTCTTCACTGTTATGGTTTATTTTAAATTCAACAAATTCAAAGACACATCATGCTTTGTAGTGGAATCATCCTATTACAATAATGGCAAGGCAAAGACAGCAAGTACTATCCGGGTTCTCTTTCATGATATTACAATTACAATTACAAAATAATTGATCCAGACAGCAAAGGGACAACTCCTCTCCATCAGAAAACAGGAGAGAGATGTTCTTGCACAGTTCTCAAGTAAACAAATATTTTTCTGAGGACAGAATCCTGAAGTCACAGGCAGCTCTTGGCTCATTACTTGCCACAACCAAGAGGGGAGGGAAGGCTACAGGGGCTTTCTGTTCTAATAGTGCCGTATAACACTGATCCTTTGATCAATCAAGCAGTGGAGTCATCATCCCTGGAGGTGTTCAGAGCCATGTAGATGTGGCACTGAGGGACATGGGTTAGTGGGCATGGTGCTGATGGGTCCATGGTAGGACCAGTTGAACTTAGTAGTCCTGACCTTAATGATTCTATGATTCCATGATTCCATGATTATTCAATTTGCATTTCAGAAATGAACACTCTTGGCAAATCAGGTCATAGCTGCCTCATCTTCCCTCACCAAGATATAAGTTCTGTGCTTTGTGTATGGCAACGCATTTGTTTCATGTTCATTTTGGTTAAATTAGCCTTTTAATTTTTGTGCCGTGCAGTCATTCTCAAGATGGGCATGACCTCAGTCTTTCATTATTTAATCCCTTTGTGGGATGATGTACAGCTCTTGCACGCTGATCATCACTTTTGGAAAAGGACCAACTTCAGGAGTTCCCTGACTGGATGAGGGGGAAAAGGAAGGAAGAACTGTTGTTATTACTTTTTAGGGACTGAATTGTAGCTTTGCTTTATTCAGATTGGAGAAACTCCAAATAATTTCTGCCAGCACAAATAATGATGCCTGAATGTCATGCTGTTGCAAATGCAAACAGCAGAATGGTAAATTACTTACTAGTTGCCTGAGGTGTAATTTCTTACATAGTGAGGTGTTGCCCTCTTCAAAGAGGGCGGAAGGATGACATTTTTTCAGGTGAAACAGGTTGGATTCAAATGATTGCAATACTCTCAGCTTGCCCCCTCACTGTTTATCACTGGTGAAGTGATGCCGTGCATGTGTGAGCTGTTGTGTTTCTCTTTGGGGCTGTGGACAGAAAGTGCTAGTGTAGGTTCCCAATGAAACCATGTCTAAAAAGCAGTCTGAAAGCATAATTTTGACCCCTGTGTTTAAAGCTTATTTTCCTGTCAGAGTTGGAAGCTGAGAAAGCGAAGTAACGAAGGCAACAGAAGATGCTGGATAAGGCTGACAACGGCCAGCAGACGAAAGCTGCCTGTTGGGGCAGGCCTGACTTGACAACCCAGCCTACAACTCAGAGCAGGCCACTGCCTAGAGCAGAAGAAAGGGCCCAGCCCTGCTGCCTGCTCTGCCTGCGTGTGAGACCTAGAAAGCCAGGGCTTGGCTGTAGCCAAGGGAGGCTCTGGAGCACAAGGACTGGGTTGGGACCATTCACGCTCTGCAGCAGTCATCACTGCTCCCAGATCTCCCATGGGCCTCATGGTAGCTGCCCAGCTCCTGACTCTCCACCCAAGTACTGTTCCCTCCTTCTCTTCCACATCCCGGGTGGGGGCAGCCTTGCAGCTTTATTCAGCTGTGCTAAGTCCAATCATGGCAGCTTTAAATACTTTACTCATTGTCAAAGATGTTATGAAAGCTTAAGGGACTCCTGAGTCCCTGCCCTCCACCCTTCACGTAGTCCTACAGACCTGCTGGAGCTTGGGGTGAGGAGCTGGCCCAAGGTTCAACAGCAGTGCAAAACAAACAGTTGCTGACTGCATAGTCTCAATGGCTGTGTCTGAGTGACGGAGGCAGAAGCCATCAGGCTGCTGCTGAAGTTAACACTGGACAAGCATGGCCTGCAGCAAGGTAGGAGCTCCCATCACCTGTGCAGCCTGATGAAGGCACCAGGCCTCCTGCACGCTGCTCAAGCACAGCACAGAATCACAGAATCACAGAATCACAGAACTGTAGGGGTCGGAAGGGACCTCTAGAGATCATTGAGACCAACCCCCCTGCCAAAGCAGGTTCCCTACACCAGGTCACACAGGTAGGCGTCCAGGCAGGTCTTGAATATCTCCGATGGGCTCTGCCTCTAAACCTCAAAGGACAATGTTGAAAGGATCACTTCAGAAAGAAACAGGATCTGGTGAGGACAGAGGGCCTCACTGTGATCTGCAGAGCAGGGAACCTGCCACTGGCTGCCTGGAAGGGGCACGTGGTCCAGTCAGGGTGCCTGGAGTGCACTGAAATGCAACTGAATTCCAATAACCATCACTACCTGCTCAGCAAATAATTTATCTTATGGCTGTCACTTGTCTAAAAAGAGAATTTCTGAAGTAGTTTTTAAATGTGTGTTATTTTTTACCCATATAGGTTAGTTTAGAAGATGTGTTATTGGTGTTGTGATGCTTGCTGCAGGATGAAGGGCAGAAATTGTCTTACAGACACAAGCTCCCTGACACCGAAAGATCAACAGGGTTCAAAAAGAATTTAGACTTCACTGGCTCTTACAGCATTCTGAGCTTAATAAAACTGGGCACATGAGGAAAAAAAAAAAAGACCCTTGGGAAGTTACTGCTTTTCTGCTTGCTCCTTGAGCTCTTGCCATCTTTTCTGAAGTAGCCAGGGCAGAAGATGCAGCATTGGATGAGCTTATTCAGCTTATTCCTGCTCATTCAAGACAAAACCTGGAAATCAGGAGAAATCAAAGAAGCTCATGGCATAGGCAGATGGCAAGGAGAGGGTACCTGCACTGGACCAGTCTGGATGAACCACCGGGCTGCACATAGGACTGCCCGTGGCATCACCACAGTCACCTCGAGCGGGACAGCAGGGCCACGCATGGAACCAGAGCCCCACACCTCCCAGGTACGCACCGCCAACTTCCCACGCCTGCGTTTGCCCCACTCGAACTGGAGCCCCGCGCCCAAGGTTCCGGGGCAGTTATCCCCACGGGGCCCCTCTCCCAGCCCGTCCCCGGGGCTCCCCCTCGGGAAGGGAGAGCGGGGCCCCCGCTGACGGCGACCGGCGCCACGCGGGGCCGGCGTCCATCCCTCCGCCTCGGCGCTGCCGCGCTCCCCCTCGGCCGGGGAGAGGGGAACGGCGGGGGGCGGGCGGCGAGCGGGGCCGGCTGGGTCCGATCGGGCGGGGGTGGAGGGAGCGGCGCCGGGGCCGGAGGGGCGCGGAGCCACCGCGGAGGGCGGAAACAGGGTGGGGGGGATTTGCGTCAGTGAGGGAGCGGGCAGAGCGGCGGGGCGGGCGGACAGACGGACGGAGGGAGACGGCGAAGAGGGACTCGCCCCATGGAGCTGAGCCCCGGGCCCGCTGTGCCCTCGGGCTGGGCGCTGCCGCTGCTCCTCGCCTTGGGCGCCGGGCTCAGCCACGCCACCCCGCACCTGCGCTACTCCCGCCCGGGCTCCCGCAGCAAGTGAGTACCCGCGGGGCAGCGCCGTGCTCGGGCGGGGTGGTCGCACGGCTTGGGGGGCCGTTGCCGGCAGCGGGGTGAGCCGAGGCGGGCTGGGCTGCGGTGCCGGGACGTGCGGGGCCCCTCGCGCCTCTACCGCTGCCCGGCGCTGACGCCTCGTGTCTCTTCTGCCCTCAGGAACTGGTGCGCGTACATCGTGAACAAGAATGTCAGCTGCTCGGTGCTGGACGGGACCGAGAGCTACGTCCAGGCCCAATACAAGTGCGCCTGGAACGAGTTTCCCTGCCGACCGACCCCGGTGTAAGTAGCTGAGGAGGAGGCGGTGTTAGGAGGGGAAGCGCTCCGTTGTACGAAGTCCTCCTGAAGCCTAAGCACGATCCCGGCGGCACGGAGCTGCGATGGCCGTGCTCGGGCTGCACCCCAAAGCGAGCACAGCCCGGGCGAGACGGCCGTCCTTCTCCAGCCTGCGGTCCCCGAGCACGCCCCGAAGCCAGCGCTCTCTTTTATTGCAAACATAAGGCCGCTGGAACTAATTAGAGCCACATTGAATCTGTTGGTGCGTTCGCTGTGCGAACTGACCGGGATGGGGGAGCTGTGCTGGCACACCGCGCCGTGCTGCCTGCCCGGGCCCGCGGGCCGCTGCCACGGGCGTCTGGAGCCCAGCACCTGCTGGCTGCACACCTGTGTGCTGCTCCGGGTTGTACCGGGCGGTGTGCTGAGCACGGCGGGTCTGGGGCTGCTCTGCTCAGCCGGATCAGCGAGTAACAGCAAGGGAGAGCCAGGAATGTGAGCCAGTGTGTTTGCAGCTCCTCCATCAGTTGCCCGTCCAGCAAGGAGCGCAGCCAATGCAGAGATTTGTGCAGAGCGTGATGCAAAGTTGCTCGTTTGGTTTAGCTTCACGTGATCATTAAAAAGGGCGACAAAGCTGTGAAGGGTGTGGAGCGTTATGGGAAGCAGCTGAGGGTGGTTCAGTCAGGTGAAGAGGAGGCTTAGCAGTGACATTATTGCTCTCCACAACTGCCTTAAAGGAGGTTGTGGCAGGGTGGAAATTGACCTCTTCTCCCAGGTAACAGCAATAGGACAAGAGGGTATGGGAGTTGCACTGGGGGAGGTCCGGGTTGGATTTTAGGGAAAATTTCTTCTCAGAAATAGTGATCAGGCAGAGATTGCCCAGGGAGGTGGTGCAGTCACCGCCACTGGAGATGTTCATGAAGGAGGTAGATGTGGCCCTCAGGGACGTAGACGGTGAGTATGGTGAGAATGGGCTGATGGTTGGACATGATCTGAGAGGTCTTTTTCAAACTTCATGATTCTGTTATTAACCGTGAGCACACAGCAGCCTGCAGAGTGAGCATCGCTTAGAGCTCAGCCTGCTGTGTTGAGGCTGTGTTGTCTTGCAGGTGGAGCAGGAAGTGGGGACAGCTGCACTGCTCTGTGGATAATCTCTATCAAATTCCTTTCCTCAGTTTCCCCAGTGGAAGAGCAGCAGTATTTTGTGCTCTTTTATTGGAAAATTGAACATGATGAGTGCACTGTAAAGGTATCTCACCTTCTCCAGAAGTCATTGGGAAGACTCCCAAATTTTGGGGGGCTCAGGCTTACACTTGGACTGAGCTGATGGCAAGGATTCTTTTAGGACAAATAACTGTTTTTGATTTTGGCATGTGGGTAACTGGTTTTAATCTGACTTGAGAAAGTGAGGCCATGGCTGATACTGCTTGGTGCCTGGTGCTACTGGAGTGAACCGTGTATGATGATGGCACTGCCTTCCCGGGGCCTGGGACAATAGATGTTGGGCATTTGGCATTTGAATGCACTGCTTTTTGTTTGTTTGTTTAGAAAAATAGCTTTTCTCTTTTGGGATATATAAATACAGGAATTTGAGGCAAATAACAAAGGCAGCAGGCAGCCGAGTCACACTGCCTTGTGTAATTTCCCTTGTTTCTCTCTGGAGTATTGAACTGGCCACTTTGGACTTTTGATTGAGGCTGTGTAATGGAGCGTACACTCCGTTGCACAGTCTCAGTAGTGGAGCTGTGGAGGAGTGAGGAAGGGTTACAGCTGAGCTCTGTGGAGACATAAATCAGCAATCATGTAAGTAAGGAATTTCAGAGGTGGTAAATTAGCATTTTCTTAGACCATCTGCTAGTAGATGATGAAGAAAGCACATAGGCATCGCTTCTGGCTTGGGAAGTTCCTGAGCCACGAACTGGTTGAACTGGTGGCAGTTTTGGCGGGAGTCAGAAGGGGAAGCCCTGCTCCAGTTGGGGACCGAACTGGATGACCTTCAGAAGTCACATCCCCTTCCAGATTACACTGTAGTTCTAAGAAATTGCACTGCCTGTCCTTCAGCTTTTCCTACATGTCTGGAGATGGCTGCTGTCGGAGATACAATATGTGGCTAAACAGACGTTTGTGCTTGCCTGCTGCAGCCAATCTCATGGAACTTTTCTGTTCTTTGAGAATGGAACTAAATACTTAATGTAAGCCTTTGTTTCCTGAATTTGACTTTCTGGTGAATGTAAGTGTAGTTTTATTCATACCCCGAGTGGCAACTGCTACCTAATTCCTCATTCTTAACATAAAATGTTCTAAGTACCTGTTGTAGCAGCAGCCAGTGAACACGGAAAGCAGCTGGAATGTCCTTTAAGCAGATCCTATCAAAGTCTTGAAATCTTATTGTGTACAAAACGATCTTCTCATAGACAGTGACTTATTTTTCTGTCTGTTGCTGGTATGCTTGTTTTCTTAGCAGCAGAGTAAGAAAATAACTAATCCAATATGTTTGAAATACATTGTTCAAAACCTGCACACCACTGTGCCCAGGAATAACTTCCTTCAGGTGGAAAGTATTGTTTAATTGAGAAGGAATAGTGGTTTGAATAACAAAATGTATTTATATGTTTGCTAGCTCAGTGCCTAGCTAGCAAATAGAATAGAACAGGAAAGAGCTATAAACGAAACAAAGAAATGGCTGTGAGGATTTTTCTGGAGTTGTTCTCTTTTTTTCCTTTATATGTGGGCATAGAGAAGTTAAAAATTAACTAAACAGTAGAGATTCATTGGAATAAACAACAGTCCCTGTGTAGTCTCCTTCAGATACTCTTGATTTATCTGAGACCTCATTCTGTTACAGACATGGGGTACAGGGAGATCTGAATCAAACAAAGAATTTGACTGTATCAAAGATGTATGGGTTTTATTAGTACTTGAGCTGGGTTGGTTTTTGGTCAGTCAGTGGATGAGTTGAAGAGCCCTTCTGGTGTTTCACTACAGCCTAGCTTTTGCACAGCAAGTACTTAAGTAGTTCTGTGCATTTAAGGCGCTGTATTTCGCTGCCTTAAGCATACAGTGCGCTCCTGAGTTCCAAGTGTTTTTCATGTATGGGAGTGTTAGGTGTTGCAGATATGAATTACAGTCATCAGACTTTTTGTTTCAGTACAAATAGAAAGCTCTTGTGATTAAGCCTAAAAATTATATACATGCATGAGCCCATTATGTCCATTCAAACATCATTCTACTCCTAAAATATTAAGTGGAAACTCAGGAAATAATTAGATTTCATTGTTCAAATGTTTTATAGATATTTGGACTAAGTAATACATTTCCTTACTGAACAGTTAGGGGATGATTAAGGTGTCAGGGATAAATGTGAGTTAGTGTGGCTGCCTAAGAGATAGGAAGAGAGGGAGTATACAAAGAAGCAGCAGAAGTGCCCTTTGAAGTATGTTCCCTTTGAAGTTCGGGGACTCCTGATTTATTTTATTTAGAAGTGTGACTGGTGAAGGAGAGAGAACCTTTGTTATTAATGGGTCACAGGCATGAAGGATACTTATATGAAAATATTAGTCTTGTTACGCACCAAAGAGAACTTTTATGTTTGAAATTTAGCATTGTTTCATAAATAACTGACCTCTCCCCACTTACTGTGCTGCAAATTTCCTTTCCTGGCTTTCTCGTGAGTAGTTTAGAAACTTAATTAGCTTAAAAGCAAATTGTACAATCTCCTTGACTAGATTCTGTAAACTCTTGAGGGCTGTGGATCCGCTGTAATGCCCCGTGGTAGAGGGGCTGGAGGAGCAGGGAGCCTGGGCAAGACTTTCAGGGACGTGATTAGTGGGCAGTATCAGTGGTAGGTGGACAGTTGGGCTAGATGATCTTAGAGGTCTTTTCCAACCTTAATGATTCTCTGATTCTGTGTTGGACATTTCTCTGGTCAATGTAGATGCTTTGGCGTGGTAGCCCAGCATTCTGGGGCAATTTTGCTTTCACTAGTAAAGTTAAATTGATAATAAGCCAGCCTGTGAGGTGAAAAAGGGGAGTACTTTCTGGTTTTTCACTGTTGCTCCAGAACTGGCAAGCAGGATGTCCCTGCCCGTGGAGAGCTGGAGAGTATGAGGCAGTAAATGAAACAGAAAAACTTAGACTGGGTGGAACCACTGGAGGTCACGTAATTGCCCCCGTGGCCCCCAGCTAACAGCAGAGCTAGCTTTAAAGTTGTCATGTTCCCAGGGACTTGAAGAAAGGATGTTTATCAGATTCCCCCAATTCAGATAACAGTCCCCATTAATTCTGTGCATGTGCATGTAGATAAGTGTGTGCTCAAGTGAATAATGAGTCAGGTCACCTGTCTGTAGCTTGTGGGGAGTGGATTTCGTGATTTAGTGTGAGCATCTTATCTTAACGCTAACGATCAACATGTAGTAAGCAACCCAATTACTGCAGTAGGTTGCACATGCTTATGAAACTGCCAAGAAGGTTATAAATGAATCAATAGCTAAATTAGCAAACCTTTCCAAATCTCTCATTGAGCAATATTTTCCAACTTCTTGTATTAAATAACCTTAAACAAGCCTGCTCCCAAAGCAAAGTTCAGTCATTGCCAAGGGGAAGACTTAAGGCAAAAAGACCGAAGTAACTTTAGAGGCTGTTGCTGCTGGTTTTCTGTAACCATAAATGTCAGGATAGATGACTATACTGATTAGTTACACTCAGCTTTAAATAACCAATATACAACACTTATTAATAAAAATATTTTGAGAAGTGGAAATTTTCCTGCTGGCACACAGGATGTCAGACTTCCAGTTCAGTTCGGATGGCTGTGTTGATTTATCATTCTCTGGCAACCTCAGAGCGTCCTGGGTGGAGCACACCAGCCCTCGTCTAGGAACATATAGTAAATCCACATGTAGTTTTCAGTTCTTGAACAGTCCCAGTGTTGTTTTCTCTGAGAATGCTCACTTGATAAAAATGGAGCAGCGCTCAGCACCGGGCAAATCAGACCTGAGACATACAAGTCA